GGTATAATAAAGGCGATTTTGGGTGGAATAAGGTCAGCTTTGGGGTGAACCTCGACCCTTTCCCACCTTTTCCGTCCCCCCCAGGAGCTGGAGCAGGCGATGGGTGCCCAGTACGGGTCGGCGCCGCCGGTGACCATCGAGGTGCCCATGGGCGCCCTGAGCCCGGGGACCCTGCTGGGCCCCCCCGGAGCCCTCACCACCATCGACCAATCCGAGCTCAGCTCCCAGCTGGGCCTCAGCCTGGGCGGACACGCCCCCCCGGCCACGCCCGGCCACGCCCCCGCGGCCACGCCCACCGAGGCGCCGGAGCCGCCGGAGCAGGCGCCGCTGTCGCCGCCGCCCCCCGAGCCCGGGGCGGGGTCGCCGCAGGAGGAGGAGGGGGACGAGTTCAGGAGGGTGAGTGAGACCCCAAAAAATATCCTAATTGTCATGAAAATGCCCCAAACGGCACCAAAAACAGGCCAATTACAGCAAAAATGGGCCAAATGGCGCCAAAAACAGGCCAATTATACCAAAAATAACCCAAATGGCACCAAAAACAGGCCAATTATAGCAAAAATGGGTCAAATGGCCCCAAAAATACCCCATTTACCCCGAAAATACCCCAATTACACCAAAAACAGGCCAAATGGCACCAAAAATGGCCCAATTACACCAAAACGCCCCAATTATCCCAAAAATAGCCCAAGTGGCACCATAAACAACCCATTTACCCCAAAAACACAATTACACCAAAATAACCCCAATTGGCCCCCAAAACACCTTGAGTTACCCCAAAATACCCCAATTACCCCAAAAATAGCCCAAACAGCACCAAAACCAGGCCAATTACCCCCAAAATAGCCCAAATGGCCCCAAAGCAGCTTAAAAAGAGCCCAAACGGCCCCAAAACAGCCCAGTTACCCCAAAAATACCCCAATTACACCAAAACAACCCAAATGGCACCAAAACAGCCCAAACAGCCCAATTACCCCAAAAATACCCCAATTACACCAAAACAGCCCAAATGGCCCCAAAACAGCCCCAAAACAGCCCAAACGGCCCCAAAAACAGCCCAAGTGGCACCAAAACTACCTTTTAGTTAATGGAAAATTAATGTCTTAATTAATAATTTTATGTTTTAAGTCACAACAATTTAATATTTTAATGATAGTTTAATATTACAATTAATGACAATTTAATATTTTAGATTAATATTGCAATTTCATTTAGTTATTTTAATTCTTTAATAACTTAATTTTTTAATTAATGATAATTTAATGTTTCAATTTATGGTAATTTGGTATTTCAGTTTAATATTGAAATTTCATTTAGTAATTTCAACATTTAAATAATTTAATGTTTTAATTAGTGACGATTTAATATTACAATTAATGATAACTCAATATTACAATTAATGATAATTTAATATTTTAATTAGTGATAATTTAATATTACAATTATTGAAATTTAGTATTTTAGTTTAATACTGAAATTTAATTTATTTTAACACTTTAATGTTTTAATTAGCAATGATTTAATATTACAATTAAAGACAATTGAGTATTTTAGTCTTATATTGAAGTTTATTATTTTAATGTTTTAATAATTTAACCTTTTTGTTCCATTTAATTTAATTTAATTAGATTTAATTTAAATTAAAGTATTTTAATGTTTTAATAATTTAACCTCTTTGTTCCATTTAATTTAATTTAATTAGATTTAATTTAATTACGTCTTAATTCAACCCCAAATGTAACTGAACAAACCTGGAATTTTGGGCTTTTTTCACCCCAAATTTCAAGAGGATTTTTAGAAACCCCAGAAAACTAATATTTTAATTTTAAATTAAATTAAATTAAATTAAATTTTTATTAAATTTAATTAAACCCACTAGAAACCCCAGAAAATTAATATTTTAATTTTTAATTAAATTAAATTAAATTTTAATTAAATTTAATTAAACCCACTAGAAACCCCAGACAACTAATATTTTAATTTTTAATTACATTACATTAAATTAAATTTTAATTAAATTTAATTAAACCCACTAGAAACCCCAGAAAATTAATATTTTAATTTTTAATTAAGTTAAATTAAATTTTAATTAAATTTAATTAAACCATCCCCGATTTTGCTCCCACCTCGTTCATTGCTAATTAATTTTCTGGTTTAATTATCAATTTTCAGCCTCCCGCCGCCGCCCCCTCCCCGCCCGCCCCGGCCCCGCCCCCCGCGGCCGCCTCGGCCCCGCCCCCCTCGGAGCCGGCGCGGCGCCCGAAACCCCCCAAGAAGCCGAAGAAGAAGAAGGACCCGAACGAGCCGCAGAAGCCGGTGTCGGCCTACGCCCTCTTCTTCAGGGACACCCAGGCCGCCATCAAGGGCCAGAACCCCAACGCCACCTTCGGCGAGGTCTCCAAGATCGTCGCATCCATGTGGGACTCACTGGGGGAGGAGCAGAAACAGGTCAGGGGGAGGGGCCAGGTGGAGGGAGGGGCGAGGGGGAGAAGATCAAGGTTGAGGAAGGCCAAGGTTGAGGGTTGAGGTTGAGGAAGGTCAAGGTTGAGCAAAGTAAAGGTTGAAGGTCAATGTTGAGCGTCAAAGGTTGAGGAAGGTCAAGGATGAGGAAGGTTGAGATTGAGGAAGGTCAAGGTTGAGCAAAGTAAAGGTTGAGGAAAGTCAAGGAAGGTCAAGGTTGAGCATCAAGGTGGA